CATTTCCAGGCATCGGCATGCCTCTCCATGCCAGGTGTGCATTCCCCTCTGCTGGTCGTGTCAATCAGGGCCCAACAGTTTCTTCACAAAGGCGTTTTTTTTTTTTTCTTGTTTTTAATTTTGCTAGAGGGCACATGCACTCACCAGAGATAGAGAGAGGGAAAATGAAAAAGCAACCCCTCTGGTGAGTGGTAACACAGCAATCACTTCTCCTTCATCTCTCTCTCCTCTTGGGACTTTGGGCACACACACACACGTGCCTAGTGTGTTTCTCAAGACTTCAGGTCCAGGACTCAAACAGCACAGTTAGCCAAGTGGGCTCCAGACACCTTGACCATCATGCCATGGTCTGGTCCACAAGCATATTCCTGGTCCACAGGCATAGCAATTATCTGACTACTCCCAAGGGGCAGCTTATCAAAGAAAACTGGGCCCTAATTGCCCTGCTCGGTTAATACATGACTTACAGTTAGCCCTTCACAGCCACATATTCTGCATCCCAGGATCCAACCAGCAGTGAATGCAGCCAGGCTACATCCACTGTTAGGGAATGGGGTGGGGGGGTGGGAGGAAAGGTGGCTCCCCAAAAGAGAGATGCTGCATAATTTTACTATGTTTTCCTTTTCACTCAGATCTGATGCTAAGATTACTTATAAGCAACCTATGGATGACTTGGGAGGATGTGTGTAGTTCTGTGGAAACACCATCCCATTTTATATAAAGGATTTGAGCAACTGTGGGTTTTGGTACCCACTGGGGCCTCTGGAACCAATCGCCCACAGGTATCAAGAGACAACTCTACTACTACACCGCTCTAGGCATTTTCAGGACCTCATTTATAGAGTCATTCTAAGACTTTTCTGATGCCTTTTAAATGTACTCAATTACACAATTGATATGCAACTTCTTTTTGTGGGGGAGTGGGTGTGGGTACCATGCTCTCACCAGAGAGAGAGAGAGAGAGAGAATGAGAAAGACAAAGAGAGAGGATGCACCCCCAAAGGGATGTGGTCATGCCACAATCCTTTTCTCCCATTTCTTCTTTCCCTCAGGATTTTGGGCATGCACACACATGTCCAGAATACTTTATTTATTTATTTTTTTTTTGAGAGGTTTTTGCCATAGGGCGTGTGTGCTTGCCAGACAGACAGAGACAGAGAGACAGAAAGCGAGAAATCACCCCCCAGGGGGGATGGCCACACCGCAATCCCTTCTCCTCCATTCTCCTCTCAAGATCTTGGGCATGCACGTACACGCGCCCGGCATGAGTTTTAAGCCACCAGGTCCAGTATGCGAACCGTGGTTGACTAAGTAGGAGTCCAGCCACATAGCCATTACGCTAACTGCTGGTCCCCCAGAATATTTTTCAAACCATCAGAGCTAGGATTTGAACCACAGTAAGTCACATGGAATCCAGCTCCCAATGCATAGTGTTTAACCACTGTGCTACATGCCAGCCCTGATAGCTTTTGAATGTAGATGATGTAGCTCAAATATGAAGGGTCTTCAGAATGCTTATGAAAATAAGTATATTTAAAAAAAAACTATGCACAGACTTTGAAGGTTTTTGCACCAAAAATAAATTTGTATTTTTTTCATGAATTTAAAAAATTTCCATTATACAAAATGGTTAAAATAGGGACCAGCAGTTAGCGTAATGGCTATGTCGCTGGACTCCTACGTAGTCGACCACGGTTCGAGTCCCAGACCCAGTGGCTTAAACTCATGCCAGGTGCGTGTGCGTGTGTGCCCAAGATCCTGAGAGGAGAATGGAGGAGAAGGGATTGTGGCATGGCCATCCCCCCTGGGAGGTGATTTCTCGCTTCTGTCTCTCTGTCTCTCTCTGTCTGTCTGGCGAGCGCACGCGCCTTATAGCAAAAACCTCTCCAAAAGAAAAAAAGAAAAAAAATGGTTAAAATAGAATTTCCCCCACCCCTAATCCAATTTCCAGTCATTCCCAAGATAGCAGTGTTAAGGACATCTAAGGACATCTACCAAATCCCCAAGAAAGACACCTGATACTCAGAGCTTCCTTCTCCCTCAGAGTCCATATGCTCATATATCTCTAGCAACTCTTCAGCAACTTCCTGTTCTCAACCTGCATAGAACACAAAGAGATTCGCTTCCCTCCACCTTCACAATCACCCTCTCAGTGTCAGCTTCTATCACTTCCTTTTTTTAAGATAATTATTTTATTTAACTTTTATTTATTATTATTATCATTATTATTTTCCATTTTGATCAGAGAGAGACAGAGAGAGAGAGAGGAAGTGAGAAAGCAAGCCACCAGGTCCGAGACTTGAACTGTGGTTGGCCATGTGGGAGTCCAGTGCCTTTAACCACCATGCCACTTGCTGGTCCCAGCTTCTATCATTTCTTACCTGCAATTCTAGAAGAACCATTTCCTATTTCCCCAGTTCACTTCTCTCCCCTGCAATCACTTATCTGCATCACATCCAGAGAGAATTTTAAAAAAACATCCCCTTTCTTTAAATCCTGAAGTGGTTCTTAACATGAAAACTGATCCCCTTATGGTTTATAATATCATCTGTGGCATTGCTTCTCACTACACCGCCTCATACCCCAATACCCTCTCTTCTCACTGCACCCCTGCTTGCCTGACTTTGTGGTTGTTCCTGTTTGCAGTTCTTCTGAAACAGTAAATTCATTTAGTTTTCCACCAGCGACTGAGGACACAGGATATGTAAACCCCATGAAAGAAAACACTTTGTTCCTTTCTCCAGCACCAAGGACATAGTAAAAGCAAATAGTCTTACATAAGTGAATTAATATACTTAAGACCCAAAGAGGGAAAGAAAGAATTTTAAGTAACAATCCTCATTCTTCTAATAGCCATCTCCTTTTCATTTGATTTTCTAGATCACTTCCCCCATAGTTGCTACTGACTCATGTCCATGTCAGGCAAGCTGTACAGTCTCACCGTTTTATGAATTCAAATCTAGATGTTTCCATATAGCACACTATCTATTCTCCACCTTATATGCTTGTGCACCTCCTACAGAGACAACCACGGCAGTTTCATATCAAGAAAAGGTCATCATGGTACATGTTCTAGCCTTTCCAGCATCTGTGATATAGATAATGTGGGCAGTGGCTCCGAAAGACTTCGGTTCAAACCTCAGTCCTGCCACTTACATGTAACACGATCTCTTTTAGGGTTCAGATAAGTCAAATAATGGGGACTCACTATCAGTACCGACTTCACAAGGTGGTTGTAGGCATTTAATAAACTACTGCATGAAATGGATTAATGGATTAGTTCAATGTCTAAACATAGAAATAATTACTGGGTCATCAGAAAAGTCATGATACATTTTTACATAGAGAAACACAGAAAAAGAAGCCGTCTTTCCTGATGACTTAATAGTACATTACAGCTTTGATAATCATGATGATCATCATAATCTCATAGTTCCATAAATCTTATGTTTCCTGTATTTGAGAAGAGAAGATGAGTCTGCCTGGACTGAGTATATGTATCATACTCTTAGAAGAAAATGCTTTGAACTCCAGTTCAGCACTGTATTTTCCTAACTGTGAGACTCAGGCAAGCTTTTAACCTTTCTTCACATCTGATTCCTATTTTTCTGGCAAGATAGTGGGTTAAGTTTTCTCTCTCAAATTTGCAGGTAACGAATTAAAGCTGGGAGACAGACAGTGGTGTGGCAGTACCACAGTGCTCTATCAGGCTGACCCAGATGGAAGGCTCCTGGTTTGTGTCTAGAGTCTTCCCTGAGGACGTGTGCCAGGCACACATGTGCCCATGACCGGGGGTTGGCTGAAACAGGTGTCAAGACCCTGCTGGGCTTGCCAGCGCTCTTACTCATAGAAGAAAGAAATAAATTTTAAAAAGACATTGAAGTTCAAATTAATGAAAGTGAATGTTCATTGTGTGTTTGGTGAGTGGCAGCCAATACCATTTCTGTGTAAACTGACGGAAATCATTTGCCTGTGAGAGCAAATAATCAGCATTATTTTACAAATGGGAAAAAGAAACACAATGAAGAATGAGGAAAAATGTCTGCTCACAGGTTGGTTGTTTTTACTATCCTTATCACTGCTCGTTAATTCTTTTTTCGTATCTCTGGGGAAACGACAACCTACAGAATTCTGGTGATTTAGCTGCACTGAAGTACTGACACTCAAGGTGGCACCGTGTCTGGTATACAATGCTGCCTCCTACACTGGCTACCTGGGTGTGAGCAGCTGCAATGGACTATTCAAATGTAGACTTGGATAAACTGGAATACTCTAAAACACATGCCTTCTCTATCCCTTGGTGTTCATAAAAGTCAAGCATAATAGTAAAAAGCTGCATCTATGAAAACAAACATTGTCTTGGAAGCCCACTGAATTCCTGTTCTCTTCCTCAAAATCCATTTGCAATCCACAGTGGGACCTTCCCACCTTTCCATTTCTGCCATAGAGTGCAGACATTCTATATCCAATGAGCAGGGATATACAAGGCCTCTCTCTCACAATCTGACTTGCTTTGCTTAGCATTAAATCTCCCATATTCCTCCACTTAATATCAAATGTTAGTGTCTCATTGCTTTTTATGGCTGAGTAGTATTCCACAGTGTGTGTGTGTGTGTGTGTGTGTGTGTAATATAAAATATATATGAGGGGTGTGTAACAGGGTGGGAGGGAGGGTATCAGGGAATGAAAACACTTAACACACATACGGATGAAAAGTAATCTTTAGATGATAAGGTATATGATACTATCTTTGACTTGACTGACATACACTGCACTCATGCTAGAAAAAAATTTTGTACACTGTAAAGGTGTATGCTGATTAAATGTAGATAAAAAAATTTTAAATGTATTTGTTATTTTCCCTCTTTTATAGTTTGAAATTTAACCTGTTAGCCAATGTGAACCGCAAGGATCATGGTTCTCTAAGCTGGCTTAATTGGAGTCATCCTTAAAAAGGTAGCAAGGTGCACTGAGAAATGAATCAATAGAAGGGGGCTTACTTCAAAGACCAGTGTCTCATTTGTGGGCCCTGGTGCATACAGACGTTCTGGGCGGTTAAAGGAGCGCTGGTATTCGAACGTGGTCCCAGCGAAGGGGAACTCCCCAGGCCAGTCGACGCTCCAGCCTCCAGTGAGGTAATACTTTTGACGGAGGCTTCGAACAGCGAGGTAACTGGAGGATACTTGCAGTTCCTGAATCTCAATGCTCCGGGCCCCAGCTGGAACAATCACCACCGGATAATACTCTGAACAAAAAGAATAGAACATTTCAATATTCTACACCATCCATTGAAGAACGGTGACCAGAAGTTCCCAGAGAAAAGATAGCATCCATTTTTATAGAGTGGGGTTTTTGAATCATGAGCTGACATTCATCCTACTCTGTGGAGTAAAAGTGGTCAACTCTTTCATTTTCCAAGTGATAAGAGCATTAGAGAGAGAAAATGTATGTCTCTTTCCTGCAGTCCTATCAAGCATGTTTGTTCAGACAGCAGATACACTCCTCTCCAGACCAAAAAGCCACAAGATCCAAGAATATATACTATTTTTATTTTTTCATCCTATCTAAGGGAAACTTAGGGCCATGCATTCTCAACAGTGATATTCAGAAAACCAGGTTCAAAAGTTTAATTTTACCTAAGAGGTACAGATAATTGTTTCAAACATTCATTTCACAATATAATCATAGATTACCTACATTTTTGCAAGTTTCAAATGCATGTAAGGCATCTGAAACTCTGGTCAGTGTATTAAAACTGCACAGTACGAAGGCACTTATCTGACACATTTCCGAGATGAAACACCTCATACAACCACCATCCAGCCTCCTTTACTCTCGCCATTACCACCAGCATATCAGGAGAGCCAACCAAAGTTTTTTTCTGTTTTTTTCATTTTTTTTAAAGGTTTTTGCCTAGGGCATATGAGCTCACTGGAGAGAGCCAGAGACACAGTGAGAGGGAAACTGAAAATCACCCAAAGTGAATGGCCATGCTGCAATCCCTCTGAGAACTTCATTCTCTTCCTAGGGTTTTTGGGCACACACACTCATGCACCTGATGTATTTTCAAGCTGCTAGGTCCAGGACTCAAGTTATGGTCAGCCATGTGTGAGTCTAGCACCTTAACCACCACGCCACCTGTTGGCCCCAAGCTCAAGTACTTTTATCATGGCTCACATTTGTTCAACAGCAGAAATGTTATACCAATGAAACAACAGCATCTCTTACCATTTGCTTTGTGCTGGTTGAGGTATAGGCCTTTATAAAACTTGCAAGTTGAATTGTCACCTTTGCAAACACCACAAGCATCGAAAACTGCTTTAGAGCCAAGTTCATGATCACATCCCACTGGCTGTGACAAAAGAAAAAAAGTGAGAAAAACAAAGATCAGCGAATGCAGGGGCTAGGAACAGATAAGAGATACTTAGGCTTCTATTTCTACTGAATGTTAGGAAAGCAGAAGAGCTTATGGTTAAAACCAGTCTTGAATTTGACTAAATAGGGGTTCAAATCCCTTCTCTGCTATTATTAGATGCATAACTTATCTAAGACTTAAACTCTTCTGTAAATTGGAATATAAAGTCATCATTGCTACTAAGTTCAGTGAGCTAGTTCAGGCTGGTCTAAGACTGAAACAAAAAATGGCTGGACAATACACACACACACACACACACACACACACACACACACCACCTTTAAAGGATCAAAGAGCTCGCAATCAAGTTAAAAGTAAAGACAAAGTTGGAGCCAGCTTGTGGCCTGGTGGTTAAGCAGTCTAGATCCCACATAACTAACTGCCTCGTTCAAGTCCTAGACCTGGTGGCTTGGTGAACACTCCACGTGCTTGTGCATGCATGCTCAAGATCCTGAAGGGAGGGAGATATGGAGAACAGATTGCAGTGTGACTATGTCCCATGGGGGCAGGGTGCTTTCTCTCTCTCCAGCAAGTGTAAACACCCTCCAGTCCATTCAAAATAATTTATTTTTTAAATTCAAGACAAATTAATACTCAAAGAGAAACAAATAACTGGAAATAAATAGTAATACTCTTTTAAAATATACTGGTGAGGTTCCAATCATACAGTGAATTTACTTAGTAATCAAATGCACATTATAGGTCTTTAATTTTTGCAGCTACCGTGTAAAGCCGGATATATCATGCTCTCCGTGTGACAACGGAGTGAAAGAAGCTAAAATGACAGGATGCAGGCCTTGCAGATAGCAAGTAGGGATTAGGAGGCGGTATTCACACCCAGGATGAGCATTCTGCCCCCTTTCCCACGCCACCCCGGGAGAATCTCTCGTGACGCTCCTCACAGTGTATGTTTCACATGAGGAAATGCAAGCATGACCATACACCCAAAGCAGAGGTGCTCTCTTACTTCACAAAGGCCGTCGATGCAAACGTCCTTTTTGTTCGAGGAGCAAGGAGTTCCGTCTTTCACTTTGCCGGACATTGCAAAGAAAAACTCAAAGTTCTCAGCCTTGCAGTACAGTTTACATCGATCTTCCTCTAGAAGTGAAGAGATCGAACAAGGATACAGTCAAGAGGCAGCTGTAAGGAAGAAGGTATGGCTGCCAGGAGGATGAGTTAACTGACTCAGAAAGTTACTGTGGTCAAAATGGACACTTAGGCGCAGTTTTGCATGGATATGTGTATGCGGGTATGCATGTGGGGGACTTCAGAAGGTTTGCGGGGAAAATGGACTTAAAGTCTTTTTGTTTGGGTGCAAAAATATTTTGAAATTCATAAATAGTATTTTTTTTATATAATACACCTTTTCTGTAAACTTTTTATGGACCCCTTGTACATAAGCATGTATGCATGTGGCTTTTAAAAATAGGAATCCCATTTAACAATTCATATAAAACTGCTTTCATATTAATACATGAGATAAATATTTTTTAATTCTTAGTGTTAGTCGCCACATGTTACGTAGCTAGCTTTGCCAGAGAGTAACTGTTTTCTAGGCTCTGTAGTCAGCCATTGACAGCATATTAAAGAAGAGGTATTAAAACACTATTTATAAAGAAACATTATTTATAAACAAAGAGCCACAACCAGGTCATATTTGGCCATAGTTTGATGACCTGGATTTAGGACTACTTTGGTATTTATTCAATCTGTTAAGAGAAACCATTTTAGGCACTTCAAAATAAAACAAAACAAAAACAAAACAAAACCGCATATGGTTAGTAATGTTTGTAAAAGAAAAAGAGAGAAAAATCATATAATCAAAAGGAAGCAGACACATATAAACTAATCCTACAGACGAAAAAAGCAACTTTCATTGACCATTAAGTCCCTGAGAAGATTGTGGTATCTCTGGCAAAACAAAACAGAGTATGTATTTTATTTATAGAGCTCATGTTATCAGAAACTAGTTTCTATGCTAATTTCTCAGAAAGAGCTCTTCTTGGCCAGGAATTCTGGACGATGTTGTTTCTCACATGAGACCTTGTGTAGGCGATGCTGAGTGAGATCCTTAACAACAGTATTACAACAAGTATGTAAACAGTTGGCAAATAGCTTCATAAAACCCCTTAATAAAACATAAAGTCAAAACTTAAACATGAAAGAAATGGTTATGGTCCATACATGAGGATATGTGAATAGGTTAAGAGTTTCTCTCTCACTTAAGAATTATGTTTAACAGGAATTTTAATGTCTCCTAATTTTTGCTCTTGAGGGAGTTAGAGTTAGATGACATACACTCGTTGTCTTTCTTGTATCAGTCCCAGGAATTCACAAATTCTATAACGTTCACTTTTTCCAGCATAGATTCCTGGGCAAGTTTATGAACCAGTTCATTAGAAGCACAGAGGGATAAAAGAAAAATGGTTAACTGCTGTAGGATCAAGACTGTCTACATCTACAAATAAGTAAGTTTACTTCTCACACTGTAGGAATGGCAGGGGACCTTCAAGTCTTGGTCAGTCTTTTCTGACATAAGTGTCAAAAGGAGATGAAGGATCTAGAAGGCCTTAACTTTTCTCTGTCTGCTGGGATGTGAGATCCTAAGCAGAAGCCTGCTTTACTCAGTGTACTCTCCTATGCTTCTAGCAGAACATCCCCTACACAGAGAGCTAAACATCTACTGAGGGAGTACATGGAGCTGCATGCTCACTACCTAGTGAAAATGCCAATATAATTAGGGAAGAAACTTTAAATCCAAAAAGAAGGATTTTCAGTTGCAAAACTTATTTGTTTCATTTTCTCATAATATATTCAATATAGAATCTATTTAAAGGATGACAACAGAACAGATTCCGTAAACACCGAATTTCTTTAATATTTATTTTTTATTTCTTCCATGAGCAAGACAAAGATAGCACCCAGAAACAAGATCCTGACTCTGTGATCCACCCCCAGCTTCAGCCCCACATGTTTCCAGGGTACTCGAAGAGGTCTCTGTACTTGAACTGTCAATCTTCGCATGTGAGATTGAGTTGCAGAACACGGCATTTTACTACTTCATTGCCATCTGGATCCCATAAATACACTATTTGAATGAAGGATATAATGCTAGAAAGGCCAATGAGTATCCAAGAAATCGATGCAAAGCACAGAAGAGGAAGTGAAAGGAAAGACAGCAGAGTCTTAGGTGTGAAAGAAGGCCGCCTTCAGAGCTGGTTACAGAGGCACAGGTGTGTTGGGAGATGGGACTATGAAGGTAGACAGGTCAGTGCCCAACAGCCTGGAAAGCTGGACTCAGCTTCACTCCACGGCCGGTGGGAGCTTTGAAGAATGTTTGGATGGGACGTGAAGTGAGCAGATCTGAACGTTAGAAAGCTCGTTCTAGGTGCTTGAACTGGGACAGCAAGAAGGCGGGGAGAACCATCTAAAAGGAACATGGGATTACAAGAGCAAACAGCCAAGAGATAACGCATCTTTAGATCCTGGGACTGGAGGCAACTGTGACTGTTCTATCTAAAGGTCAGCTGGAACCCGCAGTATAATGTCTTTCCTGGGTGACTACTTAGTGATGGAGAATTTATTACTTACAAAGAGATCATTGTGGATAGCTAATAACTATTAATTAATCTCAACAGTTACAACTATTAAATAAAGATACATCGAGTATCATTCTTAGGTACTTGAGACACAGACATACTTAAGAGAACAAAGACTTGGTCCTTGTGGAATCTTTTTTTTTTTTTTAAGAATTCTTTCTTATTTAACTTTATTTATTATATTTATTTATTTATTCTTAAATTTTGACGAGAGAGAGAGAGAGAGAGAGAGAGAGAGAGAAAGTGAGAAAGTGAGAAAGTGAGAAAGCAAGCTGCCAGGTCCAGAACTTGAAACACGGTCAACCATATGGGAGTTTAGTGCCCTTAACCAGCATGCCACCTGCCAGCCCCTGAAATCTAACTTTTTACAGAGAAAAAGATAATAGATAAATAATAATAAAAAGTACATTTGTGGCTGACTGGAGCTATGAAGAATAAGGCAGGGAACAGTATTCAGAGGAGGACATGAACGAAGAGTGTTTTAGAAAGGCTGGCAAGAAAGGTTTCCCCAAAGAGGTAATGCAGCCAGTGGGATTTTAGTTGCGAATGAATTCTGTCCTCTGGAGCAATGTCAAACAAATCTAAAATGGTTACTATTCAATAGCTCTTTGAATTTTGGGATGTAACTCGTTTCTTTCTATAGTGAACCTCTACAGGTCCCTCTTTACCTCTTAAGACACAGCTTTTTCAGAGTTTGTGTCTGTCTCTCCATGACTTTCCATGGTCATCATCCACACACAGATCAGTGAGGACCAAGCCAAGTCCTACTACCTTTCCTTTGATCCAGAGGCTCCACTTATTATTGGGTTATTGGGAAAGTCAGAATGCATTTTTGCACAGAAAAACAGAAAAATACATCATGACTTTTCTGATGACCTAATATAATGATATCTCTAATTACACTGCTTCCCTTATGATAGCTGATGATAGAGGTCTGTTCTGAATGTTTGCACAGGAACATCCTATCGATCGTCCTTTGTCTCTTCCCATCCTTTACACATGCAGGTGGGGCTCACAGGTATCTTTTTTCAAGGAGCATAGATGCATGTGGATATATCACAGTGGATGGAAATAAAAAGGAAATCGCTGGAACAATGCCAGCTTGTTCTACATAGGTATTAGATACTACATTAAGTGCTCACTTGGTAAGTGTTTTCGCCTTTAGAAACTACATTAAGTTTTCATAGTAGAAACAAATGTTCTAGCATGTAGCCACAATCAAAACAAATTGAAAAAGTAGAACGGAAGTCATAGTTTTACGTTACAATAAGTACTAAAAACCTAGAATCAAGGTGACTTTTTATCATTCAGGGTTGTATGTGTGTGCACACACGTACACTCTACAAACAGGCCTCTCCATGTATGCAATCATCTGACCTGTCACTTACCGAGTACGGTGTCTCTATGGGGCGTATATGGTTTCATGAGTTTTTGGTCTGGACAATTCATACCAATTTCAATTAACCTCCCTGTGGGACTTAACTGCTGAAATGTCAAAGGTAAGTTTAAAAATGCAAGTACATTCCAAACACATGAACCCGTGGGTTTGCAGATGTGGAAGACAAGGGATGTCTTATAAAAAAAAAGTGTAGAATAATAAACAAAATCTATGGGACCTGAAAGCCTGGACCAGGAGAGGTCTGAGGAATAAGATAAACACTGACATTTTTTTATAGGCAGAAACTTCTGTGTCATTCATTCACATTACTATCCACAAAGATATATTTATCTGAGTAACGTAGAGACTAAATTACCTTCCACTTTGGTATAGGGTTTCCACTGGTAGAACCATCCACGGAAAGGTTTGCTGTTATATTCTGCACACTGCTGGGCTCGAAAATCCAAGCTGTTTTCATTACAAGGGTTAATGTTGCAGAGCTGATAAACACGACTGGAACCTGGGCAGAACTTGCCACCATATTGAGGCCTAAAAACAAAATTAAATAACTTTAATGCTACTGGTAAAAGGGCTCATAATCGGTCACATGTTATAAGAAAGACCATCAAAATGACTGCTGGCACAATACATAAATTGTAAAGTCCACCACAGGAATGGAAATACATAGCGTACAACTGCCACATCCATGCTTGCATAGCAGACATGACTAATCAATCAGGATTATTTTCCTCCTAAGCCTGACATGGCCTCAGAACAGCTTTCAACATACCCTTAGGTGACTATTCAATTGGAATTGGCATGTAAGAACGACGGTATTTGCCATATTGGATGCAATTTTATTAGGTTGCATTTTTAAAAATTTTTTCTTTTTTTAATAATTATTTATTTTATTTTTTAATTTATTCATTCACTTAGTTTTTAATTTGACCAGAGAGAGACAGAGAGTGAGACTGAGAGAGATAAGAAGTGAGAAAGCAAGCCACCAGATTCAGGACTCAAACCCTGATTGGCCATGTGGGAGTGTCCAGCGCCTTAACCACTATACCACCCACTGGTCCCAAGGTTGCATATTTTTACAGAGAAAACTATGTCACAACTTTTCCAACAGCCCAATATATTCTGGTAATTTTCTTAAGACTATCAAAGACATTCTTGGCACTCACTCTATCACCTCATATGTTAGGGACATCTGTAAATACACATAACTGTTCTTACTAATGTATACGTGTGCTTGTGTACGGCATACAACATGCCCTGCATGTTGGCACCTAAAACTCTTTCACACTCAAATGCAACCTTCGCTTCCAGCTTTGCTCTCATTTCTTCACACTCTCTTCTACATCTTCCTGCACGGTTCCGTGCACCTGCTACCATGTAGGTGGTCATCACACTGAGAAGGAACAGAGGTCCCATTTGCCACGCTCTCAAACCCAGCTTTGCTGGTCCTTGAGCTGATATTCGGATTACTGTCTGACTCTTGTGTGCTTCATTCTTTTGTGGTTTTTGTCATGGGGCTGTGCACTCACCAGACAGAATGAGAGAGTGAGAAATCATACCCCAAGGGGATGGCCACACCACAATCTCTTCTCTTCCATGCTCCTATCCGAATTTTGGATGTGAACTCATATGTGATTTTTAGGCTACCTGCCCAGGACTTGAACTGCTTTTGGTCATGTGAGTCCAGTGTCTTAACCACATGCCACCTGCTGGCCCCAGGTGTTTTATTCTAATTGATTGTAAACTCTGAAGGACAATATTCCTTTGTTTTTACCAGTATAATTGTTTCATAACTTTGCAGGTGGTCTGCCTTTTTCTTGCCAAGCACAATGGGAAATGGATGTTGAGAGCAGGGAATCTCATTAGGACATGAATAATTACGATCTAATGGTAAGCTCTTTAAGATCTTAGCCGGCAGAGCCAGATCTGCAAAAACCAGAAAGTCATATAAAGGAATCACCTTGAAAACCACCAGCGTCATCTTATCCAGTTCACTCTGTGCACAAGGCCACCACTGCTCTTCTCATTCCTCCCCTTTCGCTGTTTCCTCTGAAGGCTAAAGCTCAACTGTGGATCATCTCATATAAAAATTTGAAACCAACATGCAACATGAAAGGGAGCTGCAGGTTACTAAATGCATGTGAATTACAATTCCTTGTCCCTTTAGGAAGCATGAGTATGCTATAAAACAGTGCTGGATGTGCTTCGGCAGTCTGTCCAGTCCTCCTGTAACTGCTTGCTAAAATGGATTCAACAGGAAATGTCTCACTGCCAGAGTGAGATTGTTTATGCTATTTTGTAACATTCTAGAGCAACCACCGAAATATGCATCAGCTATCCTGCTAGCTCAGATCCCTGAAGACTTTCTAAATGATGATCTAAAAAGCACGTACAGAAACAATAAAGGGCCGTGTCACAGTCTCAGCATTCCTGGTCATCTTTACAAGGCATTCTGAAAACTAATTTGCCAATTTAAGACTTGCAGAGATTTAACAAATAATCCTCCTTTGGACTATTTATATTTAATGAAGTGAAAGAGGACCACAAAGTCCTACTTTTGTGACTCACAGAACTAGTGACACGGAAAAGCTCTCCAAACTCATATAGCCGTCCCCTGGTTTTGTAGAGGTGAAAATGGTGGTCAGACCTCACAAACTGGCCAAATGAAGGTTGAGCTCTATTCTGTCTCTAGACAGAACCTCAAATTCCTCAGCTTTGTCCAGGGTTCTTTGCCTGCACAAATATGCCTTCATTTAATGGAGTTAGTGATAGGAGTCAGGACAGGGAAGGTGGGGGAAGTAAGTACAATGGTTAGGGAGCTAGCCTTTTACCATGAGACAGACCTCAATTGAAATATTCTGATTCTTGGGACCGGCGGGTGGCATAATGATTACATCTCTGGACTCCCATGTTGTTCACTGCAGTTCGGGTCTCAGACCTGGTGGCTTAAAATTCACACTAGGCAAGTGTGTGTGCATGCCCAAGATCCCAAGAGGAGAATGGAGAAGGGATTGCAGTGTGGCCATTCCCCATGTGGGATGATTTCTTGCTTTCTGTTTGTCTCTCTGTCTCTCTGGTGGGAGTGTACACACCTTATAGCAAAAAAAAAAAAAAAAAAAAAACCTCTCAGCAAAAAATAAATAAATAAAATAGGGCCTAGCAGATGGGATAATGTTATGTCACTGAACTCCCAAGTAGTCAGCCACTATTCGAGTCTTGGATGTGGCGGCTTAAAACTCATGCTGGGCATGTGTGCGTGCATGCCCAAAATCCCAAGAGGAGAATGGAGGAGAAGGAACTGTGGTTTGGCCACCCCCCTCCCCCTGAGGGTTGATTTCTCGCTTTCTGTCTCTCTGGCGAGCACACATGCCCTATAGCAAAAGTCTCTCTAAATAAAGAAATAAAAATATTCTGATTCTTCCCAGTTTACTTCAATTTTATTTACCCTCCTTATCTGTAAAATGGGGACAGTTTAGACAATTAACTGTACAGGTTGAGTATCCCTTATCTGAAATGCCTGGAATGAGAACTGTTTCAGATTTTGGATATTCTTAGATTTTGCAATATTTGCATCTACATGAGCTATCTTGGGGGTACGGCCCAAGTGTAAATATAAAACTCATTTCTGTATCTTTCATATACACCTTGTACGCATCACCTGAATGTAGTTTTATGTATTTTTATATTGTAGTATTTTGCCTGTTATCTGTCCCATAAGGTTAGGTATGGAATTTTTCTATACATTGGCACTCACAAAGTTTCTAAAAAATTTCTTTAATTAAAAAAAAAAGTTTCAGTGATCAGAGGGTGGTGCCACTGGACCCACATGGGAAGGGTTCTGGGTTCGCATCCTGGCATCTTCCCAAGTATGCCCAGCACACATACATGTGCCACGATCTGACTTGAGTTAGATGGGGGATAGATCATGGTGTGAAAATCTGTAGGAGGTCTCTATTTCTCTGCCTCTGTTTTTCTCTGTCATGAAAGAAATACCTTTTTATATATATATAAAAAAAAAAAAGAGGATTTTTGCCTTAGGGTGTGTGTACTTGTCAGAGAGGGAGACAGTGAGGGAGAAAGTGAGAAATTACCCCCAGGGGGATGGCCATGCTGTCATCCCTTCTCGCCCTGGGATCTTGACCACGCATAAACACGTGCCTGGCGAGATTTTCAAGCCACTGCGTCCGGGACCTGAACTGCAGAGAGCCAAATGGGAGTCCGGCAAATGTAACTGCCACACCATCTGCCTTTTACAAAAGCTTGGAACATTTCAAATTTTGGATTTTCAGATGAGGGATGCTCAGTCTGTACCATGCTTGTAAGTAATTTAAGGCAGTATCTCCGTCCGAGTTAGTAGAAGTAAATTCTAACTGTTTTAAAGTGCTTTATACTTGTGTATTAAGTGTTCATACTGCTGAGTACTGTATGTTTTTTACATACCAATACATTTCATCGTCCATTATAGGATATGGCAAGAGTCATCAAAAGTAATGACTAGCAAAATCGGGGGCTTTTCTGTCCAATCTTCATTCACAGCCACTTCTTTTTTTTTTTTTTTGGAGAGGTTTTTGCTATAGGGCGCGTGCGCTCGCCAGACAGAGACAGAGAGACAGAAAGCGAGAAATCACCTCCCAGGGGGCATGGCCACACCACAATCCCTTCTCCTCCATTCTCCTCTCAGGAACTTGGGCACACACGCACACGCGCCTGGCATGAGTTTAAGCCACCGGGTCCGGGACTCGAACCGCGGTCGACTATGTGGGAGTCCAGCGACATAGCCATTACGCTAACTGTTGGTCCCGTCACAGCCACATTTTCTTGTGTTCTAAATGTGACTGCTAAGATAAAGTGACAGAACACTCTACCATGATATACTTCAGTGTGTTAGGGTCTTTATGATGAAAGAAAGAAAGAAAGAGACAGAGAGGGAGGGAGGGAGGGAAGGAGGGAGGGAGAAGAAAAGAAAAGAAAAAAGAAAAGAAAAGGAAAAAGAAAAAAAGGAATGGATAACAAATCTAAGCACATGATTTGTTCCTGCGTTAGACTAGTATAAATTATATCTGCATTTGTATCTGCATACTCTATCAAATCTTGCCTATAAAGGGTTACAATGTTAGTTGGTTGACTGATCATTAGCATAATTTCAGGACCTTAGACTAAAACATAGATTATTTATGTAGAGATGATAAATTCAATCCCTAGGTGCCTTCACACATTTTCTCAGTAAGAATATATGACATAGAAGATCTAGAAATTAGTGTTTTTTAAACTATGTCAAATGACTCTGACAATCAATTGGAAACTAAACTCATTGAAAAAGTAGATTTGACTCAATGACTATTTGGTAGCCATAATTACCTCCTAACTCCATTTGCTAAATTGCATCAGAACAAGCATTATGTCATTCTTTCTCAAAAAGGTCCTATGTTTTAGGAAAGTTCTAGAATACCTTAGCACATCACTGATAATTTTCTTGAACAGGGTTATAGGAATTTGACATTCCCTTATGGTGTGATAACTTAATCGATGATGAACCAGGAAAAAAAAAAATGTCAAAGGAATAAGACCATGGGGTCCTGGTCTGACTGTGCGGGCCTGAGCAAGGTAACCATGCCAACCCACATCTGTCAACGGGGCCTCCTCCTACCCCTGCTGCCCCTTTGCCCATCCATTCAGTAACTGGATTGGACAACACGTTTCCTCCCACATGTTGTTTCTAATCTGATTGGGAGCAAATGACTGGAGAAGTGTTTTGAGAAGGTTTCTGAGGCCTAGCAGGGATCAGTAGGAAACAGGACTTCAATCCACTAAAAATGTCCACCTCACATGGGAAGAAACAGGCCCCATGTGCCTGGCCTTGGCTATTCCAGAACCAGATAACCTTTAAACTCTTTTAAAGCTCAAAAGTTGGATAAGTCCATAAATCAGCCAGAAATAATTCATTTTTTATGAAACAAAATCTGCTCTGGGAAAAACATCATTATGTGAAATAGAAACCTCACACCACTTCTCAGATGAGTGATGTGAACAGAACCAAATGCTTAAACTGGAGCAAGAGAGAAATCAGCCCCTCGAAACAGAAAACCAAAACACCACTCTACTGCAACGAAGTGAAATAAGAACTGCGAGAAAACAATTAATTCAGTTGTCTTGGGATAGCCTCTCTTCAACAGGTTTTACTGGTGACTTCGTGCATAAAGTGTCCTGATTACCTTTAATCTTGCTTAAAGTGGCAAAGCTGTACCAAGTGGAAATAATTTAGTGATTATTTTATTAGGCATCTCTAAAATTACATTTCCATGAACAATGCTTTATGATAATGAGTTCTCTTAATCTCACAGACACGGGAGAGATTTTCATTTAAACCTGAGGGGTGTCATTCATGCATTTGACCAGAGGAGCTAGTAAATTAGGAATCTATTTCTTTCTTGGGAAAATAGTGAGATTGTAAAATGTTGTGAGGTATAAAAAACAGATCCATGAAATATGCTTCAAAAACAAAGCAATATAATGATTTAAGAATTCTACCCAAGGCCTGGACTCCCTTTAAAGTACCAGGAGGGTGGTTTTAATAGCCTAGAATAAACTGCAAATGCTTCACAAGCCAATTGTACCCAGCTACCAGGCCTCATTAGACCAGTGAGTCTCAATTAGAGGTGATTTTGCCCCTACAGAACTTTTGACGATCTCTGAAGTCTTCATCGTTTTTGTAATTATCAGGGAGTGCATTTGCTTGCTGGAGGAAGAGAGAAAATGGCCACACACACACACACACATGTAAATATATAGAGATACATATCTGTCTTTTTAAAATTTGCTCAAGGCTGTGTGTGCTCACTGGAGAGGTGGAGAGGGAGAAAGAGAAAGTACTCCCTCTCTTTTAGGCATTTTGGACTTCCATGCGTAAGAGCCTGGTGTGTTCTTCAAGCCACCAGGTCTGGGATGTGAAGCGTACAGTTGGCCAGGTGGGGTCCAACAACCTTAACCACCATGCCTCCAGCCGGCTCCACACTGTAATCTTTTTTCCTCCATGTCTCCTTCCGATCAGGATTTTGGACATACTTGCGTACATGATTGTAGAATTTTCCAAGGCACGAGGGCCACAGTCAGCCATCTGGGATCTCGTTCCTTTAACGAACACTGCGCTACAAGGCTGGCTCCGGAGACAGTTTTGATTGTCACAATTGGGGGGATGGAGAGAGAGAGTGATCGTACTGGCAGGTAGTGACTGAGGCTGGAGATGTTAAATGTTCTGCAATGTGGGGGGAAGACCTACAGCAGAGTACAGTGCAGGAACTGAGAAGCACCAGGTTAGCCTGAGATACGCCAAGTGGCCCCTAATGAGTCATGGTCAATCTTTCCAGATCCTCCCTTACACTTCGGAGGGAAAATAGCCTTTTTATTCAGCAGACTATTGACTCAGATGAAATGCCATTTGTCTCATTTAAGATGTTATTTTCCACTAGTTTCATTAGTTATTTTAATTCTCAGTTTACAAAACATTTATACAATGCTTACAACATGTCAGGCCCTTTTAAAAAGTGATCGGAAAAAAACAATGAAAAGATATTGAATGATGAAGTGGGGAGATTAATGTCTGTATGGACTGACACGCATGGCAATCCCTTTTGAAAAAGCAATGTAATACTCTGTAAAGTTATATGCAATCCAATGTAATACGAACAAGATGATGATGATAATAAATAAAAAAAGTACTTTACAAATAAAAATTTCACGAGTGTAGGGACTATCATCATCCCAACTTTATGGCTATGGTCAGCGAGAAGTGGCCGGGCTAGGGTGTGGAGCAGGTGGTCAGCCTTCAGAGTCCCTGTTCAGAAGCTCTGTCCTAGGCCCACGATCAAACTGGGTTGTAAAATTGAGTCCGCTCTCCTCCAACAGCCCACTATCTCCTTCCAAGTTCCCATACACTCCGCTCTCTCCATCTCTTCTTGTTTCTTTTTTTAAGTATGAAGGCTCTTAATTTATTAACATCAAAGTAAAGCCAAGGGTCAGCAGGTGGCATGGTAGTTAAGGTGGATGGAATTTCACATGGCTGACTGGGCAGTTCAACTCCCAGACTTGGTGGCTTGATAAAAACACACCAGATGTGCACATGCGTGTGCTCAAAATCTCGAGAGAGAGGAGTGAAGAAAAGATTGAGGTGTGACCATGCCCATAGGGGTGATTTCTCCAACATCCCCCCCCCATGACTAAATAAATAAATGGCCAAAGAAAATAACTCTTGTATGGAGAACACTGCTTACCCCTAGTGACCAAGCTACACTGCACTGTTACCATAAACCACTATACAACATTCTCATTGCAAAGGAACAACCATGAAAGCAAGTCCTTCTGGAAATCCATTATCCGTGCTGCTCAGCCACTCCTGCTGCTCTGAGGGCTGACCCTCTGCAACCACACCCTCCTGATGAGCTTGGCAGGAGGGCAATGAAAACCCCCAGGACCCGGGAACCTTTCTCTGCACCCTCCCTGGCTGTTCACAGTCTATCAGCCATTCTGCAGGTGCAAGATCTTATCAACCCCAACTGCCTGAAGTGGGTATCAAGGTTTCCATTTCACACATAAACCCAAGCTCTGAGTTCAAGCGACCTTCCCCAAGCTTGTACATCACCACGCCAGGCAGGAAATAAGTATCTCATACATGTTTCATGTAGGGCTTGGAGCCTAGAAAGGAACAGAAATCCACCTTCCTTTTCACAGAGCCCAGAAGCAGTTCAGGGTCCAGAATGACTAGACCAGAGCCCACGGGTGTCCACGGGCTAAGTTCAATCCATAGATAATCTCATTAGCTCTCACACTGACTTTCTGCCTTGATTTCTCAAGAAAACGGAACTTATTGTCACTATTTTAAAACTGGAAGATGTCACACACTTTTTTATTATTTTAATATTTCTGGTTTCTCAAAAAGTCAGGCAGATCTGTCACCATGGGTGGGTGTACTTCCTGCAAGGCAAAAACCAGCCTACTTCCTCCAGCTCGCCAGTCTGAGAGACACACACCTTCCAGCGGGCAAGCTCCTCTGCTCTACAATGTGGCAAGCATTTGCTCGTGTGACCTGATAGCCCGAGTTTAAGAAAGTAGCTACGATGATTACTGGACTCCTTGATTATCATGTTCACACACAGCATGACTTCTCTGTGGGTTTTTAGTCTCTTCCCAACAGACCTCTTTGTGTGCAAATGCCAAGACCCTGGGTGATTGCCATCAACCAGGGGAAAGAAAACCACATTTCAAATCAGCGCGCTGCAGGCTGCAGGGTAAGGCCTCTCGAAGACGGCCTGCCCGCGGGAACCTTACTTGGGGTTGTTGCAGTGTCTCTCCTGATACTTGACCCCTCCTCCACAGGTCCGGGAACATTCTGACCACTTCGACCAGGCAGACCACTGGCCATGGATGGGCCGGGGTCCCAGCTCTCCAAACTTTACGCACTGGCCCTGCCGACACCACTGTGAAAAGAACAGGGTACACGGTTCCTGTCAGAGCCCACGGAGGAGCACCGAGATGCACACACCTGCACAGTAATGGGAAACCAGGAGTGCTAGCAGAAAGGCAGAGCCGGGACCACTCGGGAGACTCGTCTGTGCTGTGCCTTATTAGCGCCCAGTTAAGAGAGGTGCCACCTCCCCCCAACAAGCTGCAGACGACATGGGTTGTGGACTGGGAGGGGGGTGCTGATGGGATAAAATCCCACTGGGCAGCCAAGGAAGCGGCAGGACAGAATTAGCATGGCCCTCCGTTTGTACTTAGAACCGATGTTGCTTAGAGGGTAGTTCAATCATTCGCTCAAGGAGAAACGGTTTTTATGGTACGAATACAGAATTTACTGTCTTGAATGATTCTTTTATCACAGAAACAGAGGCAATTATACATACATTAGTTTTGTTTATTCTGAGCCTTCGTTATAGGGCATTTCTTATGGAACTGAGTAACCTCCAGTCTGCAGCATTTGGGCTCTTTGGATAACTCCCCCATCCTTTCGCCTGTATATAAAGGTCCCCCCTGCAGACCTCTGCTGACTTGTGAGTTCTTTCAGTGTCTTTGATGCATGAGCTTTCGTTGCTGGTGAGCCGCACAGTCGCGGGTAAGTGCTGTTCCTGTTCTAACCTTTGCATTTCATTCTCCTTTGTAACAAATTCCAGGCTTTGCTGGTCATCTCTCTCCTTGGGGGCTGCCTTAGCCTCTGGTAGCTTTTTTTTTTTTTTTTTTTTTTTTCCTGTGGTGCTTTTATTATGAGCAAGTTCTGCATGACTTAGCATAACTGCAGACTTTCCTAAAAGCCTCTGCAATTAGATCCAAAGGGCTGGGGTTTGAACCACGCCAGGTTTTACCAAGAAGCGAGGGTTCGGTTACAGAATTATGGGAAGGTTGTTTGACTTTCAAATCTTCACTTCTCCCCCGTGATACATTTGGCTTCATGGCTGTTTATCGTGTGGTGTGGCTGTGAGTGCACTTTGTCTAAGTTAGGATATTGCTTGCTTTCTGCAAATTCTTGCCAGGTACTGATTAATTCTTCTGTTTTTAATTTTTCCTTTTCCCTGGGTTAATCGCCATTTTGGAGTTTACATGAAATCATAGAACATTGCTGAGAACTTCTGAGGGAAAAGCAATCGGTCATTTGAGGATTTTGTCCACCAAAAGCCGGTATCTTCCCTATCAGGAACCACAAGGATTTCACTGAACTAAACTCAGTGACTGAGACAAAATAACACAATGACAATAGCCAACAATAGCAACAGTAGCAAGATCAACAGTGGCAGCAGTAGCAAAGCAGCTACAATTGATTGAATTGTTTCTACGTGCCAAAAATGGTGGGGAAAACTTCAGCGTGCAGTATCACATATATCCCTTGCAGAGCACTTGGGAGTTAATAAGTATTTTCTAGATGTAATAAATTAAGCAAACAATTACCAACTAATTTCCTCAGAGGCACAGTTCCCAAAATAGCTACACAAGTAAGAGGGACTGGATTTAACTCAGTGGTCAAAGTACCTATACAGAACACATTCGGATTCTCACCGAGAGCAAATTATTGACCAGTCTTTCTTCATTCTAATCTAATTGCGTTTTTGTAGATGCCTTTAGATCCCTTCCAATCATTTCATTAATTTGACTTTATGTTAATACTCTCCTAGCACTAGGTTAGGCTACTGACAGATTGTCTCTTTTCAGTGTAAGTCAGCGTATATATTGGCATATGTAAGGGGTTTTCAAGAAGTCCATGAAAAATGCATGGTATGAAAAAACAATGTAAGGATTTCAAAATTTTTGAGCCAAAATACACTTGTACTTTAATTCAATTTTCCATGAACTTTAGAAGTCCTCTTGTATAAAGTTTTACTTATAAAATATTAATATAAAATATGCACCCATAAAGTTTTGTCGATACATACATTTTTTTTTTTTGCACTGCTTCTAATTTCAAATGAAAGGCCGTAAAATTGGGCCAATATCTTTGCATCGACAGCCTGCACAAACCTTTTGCTCCTTGCAGGCTTATCTCTAGCTAAAATGATGTGGGTTTCCCAGCCTCACATTTTTACTGAGTATCCATAATAATAGTATTGCTGAAGAGCAAGAGACTGGAGAAGGAAGGGGAAGGATACAATTGGGTTCTAGTTACAAAGAAACAAACTAAACACTGAACATCTGCTACTCTGGGTCAGACGTGCCAGATAAAGAATAAGTGAGCCACCGGGCGTGGCCCTCGCGTGGTGATAGCAATCCTAATAGACAGCCAATCACATGTCCTGGTAAAGGAAGTATCAGAAGACCACATAGGAAAATGCGGTCTTCACTGGATGATAGATAATAATTCTTGTATCAGGAGATGGATGGAATTTACCAGGACACTTTCTCCTGAGGGTAACCTTCTAGTTGACAGCTTTCCCCAAGAAATTACCTATAGCCTGAGGTTTCAAATTAGTGGAGAGGTCGTGGGTGGTATCAGGACATGAATGTTTCTAACTTCTGATTTCCTTTTTCTCATGTTGTTTGCTGAGGTCTAAATCAGGGGCATTTTAGCGCTCATGTGCCATGGTTTGCATGTGTCTCTCATAAACTCATGTGTTTAAATTTGGTGATGATTTCGAGAGGGTGGAGACTTATTTTGACTATGGTGTTAAAAGGAGAGTCCTTTAGGAAGTGGTTAGGCAGCACGGTGAGGCACTATGACTGAGTTCAGCTACCTTGATAAGGAGAGGGAATGAGACAGAGATATGTTCTCTCCTCTGCTCCTGCCCCCCACCATCTTATCCACCAGCCAAAAGACCCTAACTATATGTGGCCATTGAACCTTGGACCCTCAAACCATGACCTCATAAACCTGTATTTCTACAAATTACCCAGATTTGGGTAATTCTGTTACTAGTGACAAAACAAACTAGCATTGAACTTAGATTAACTTGCGTATTTATGTAATCAACCTTACACCTGTGCCATACATCACTGGTTTCCCTATTCATTATACTAGTCTTTCTTATATATCTATTTGTGGACTTAATGTCATTACTTTTTCAATGGAAAAAGAAATACCCATTCATCCTCAAGTTGGAAGTTCTAAAATTTGATATTTCAAAATAAAATTGCCTTGAACAGTGTTTACACTTTATTCAATGAATCCCTTGTTTCATATCATCACAGCTAGAATATTTCTATTCACATTTTCAGTGAGCATCCGGAGCAGGGGTTTCCTCAGACTAGTACATTTGATGAAAAATATCACATACCTCAATTTGTAAGGAGTTTAATTTCATTAAACAAAAAAGAGTTAAAAATGACAAATGTTTTAAGAGCTATAAATCAGTACTTTGGTAAGTATCAGCCAGCACTTACTCAATGCCCTCGGGTGCATCTATGTCTTTACCTGCATCGTTGGCCTCTCTGAAAAGTCTCCCCTTCTCCCATCCAACTAAAGAGCTTCAACTGAAGGTCTGTCAATGGCCTCGCCTGGTCCGGCAGTGATTGGAGATAATTCTAAGTGTATAGTAAGGTTTATTTCTCATTCACCCTGGCCTTGATAACAACTAGTGCTTAAAGAAGAATGAAAGTTCCTAGTTTCTGTGTACATTTTCCTACTGGTCTCTAAATTCTTCAAGGGCTAGGACTGAATTTTATTCACCTCTGTCTCCCCAGAGTCTCATGCCCCCTACATCTCCCAGTTGGGCCAATTCTTCTACACAGGATGGTGCAGCTTTGAGAGAGCCAGGAACAGAGAAGGACAGCCTGCACGACTGCATCCCCTCTCACCATTCAGCACCCTTCTCTCATAGTCTTTCAAATGAACTCTCCAAATCTGAACCTTTTACAGGTACTCAAAGGGCCCTTTCCCTCCAGACTGTACTGGGAGAGGGGAAGAAAAACAGAAACTAATCCATAAGAATTCTTCATTCTAAACACAGAGGTTTCCTGTAATTTCCATAGTGGAGATGGTTCTTAAGACTGAAGATGCTCATTAGCAAAAAGACTTTACATTACAAGCTCGAGTGGAAGGTCTCTTATCCTTCTATAGGGAAGTTACCAGAAGTGACAGGAATCTATGTCAGAAGCTCAATGACAGGTTCGGTGGGGTGAGGTGAGGTTGGGTGGAGTGGGCTGGGGTGGGGTGAGGTGGGGTGGAGTGGGGTGGGGAGCAGAGGCATTGGGGGACAGGTTTTTTTTAATTTTTTCTTTCTTTTTTTTTTTTTTTTT